TGACCCACAGAGTTTGTTTTTAAACGCAGCACCTCTCATCTGTCCTATTGCAACCAGCCCTGTTAGAAATATTGGTGTCACTGATCCCTACAATGATCAAATGGAAAAGGACTAATTCCAAACATTCATCATATGGCTGCGACACTCAGGATTCACGGGAGACAGAGTTAAACCTCTGGCCCCGAAAGCTCAGATTAAAGACTTGAGAAATAGTAGTCAACGCATTTGCCATCAGTACTCAGTGCCTCGAGAAGAGCCAAGGCATGGGCTCTCGCCACATAAACCAGACTGTATTAACGTGAACCAAGCCACGCTACTTTACGTAACATTTCCCTTGCAAATATTAATGTTGAAGGGAAGGGGGAAAAGAGATTACGCTGATTTCGATGTCTTAGCATCAGGTAGGAGAGACCCTGAAATGACCTCTTTAAAGATCTAACAACTCTGCTCCTTCAAATACTGGCTGACAAACCTCCCGGAGCCCTCTACGATGACCTTCAGCAGAAACAAGGAAGACCGCACCTGACAATTTTAAGGTAAAAACCAAGCAGCCTTCTATCTATATCATAAAGGTGGGGAAAAGAGTACAAGCACATTAATTTCCTATGCAGGCAAAACGTCCCCTCTTCCTTATCCTGTTGTTCAGTGTGCTCTCCACACGACTGTCCCCCCACACAGGTGGGTGCATTTAAGTAGTGCTGTGTAAACACAGAACCAAAACCCGAAGGCCTTGCTGACTGGCTTTCAGGGAGTTTTGCCTGCTTTAGGACATTAGGTGTCAGTCCATACATTTGTAAGGTGCTTTGGGACCCTTTGTAAAGACAGAAACTAGAGAAAGACCAAGCCTTGTTATCACAGAGTTTCTTGCTGCTGATTTTTACTTTTTAGTGCTGAAGTGTGGAATTTATCCAGACAGGCAGGGTGTTGTGTGACCATAGCCTGTGTGGTATTGCACAAACAGCTGCATCTGGCCATCAATGCACAATGCCCTGAGCGATGACAGCAGTGATGTTATGTGCGAGAGCAAGCTTTCAGCTGAGCGGGTCAGTGTTAAGGTTTGATGGAAAGATGAAGGCGGTGTGGCCGACAGGTCCCTGATCTCAGCTTCCCTGATTTCCATAGATAGAGTGGATTGATAGAAAGGGTGGCAATTTTGAAAGAAAAGCTTCAAAAACAGACTCCAACAAGAAACTGCTGAGCTTGAATTAATATGCAAACTAGACACCATGAACGTGGGTTTGAATAGAGACTGGGAGTGGCTGGGTCATTACACATCTATTTCCTTAAGTTAAGTATCCTCACACCTTCTTGTCAACTGTCTAAATGGGCCATCTTGATTATCACTACAAACGTTTTTTTCTCCTGCTGATAATAGCTCATCTTAATTAATTAGCCTCTTACAGTTTGTATGGCAACTTCCACCTTCTCTGTATGTGTGTGTATACAGATATATCTTACTATAGGTTCCATTCTATGCACCCAATGAAGTGAGCTGTAGCTCACAAAAGCTTATGCTCTAATAAATGTGTTAGTCTCTAAGGTGCCACAAGTCCTCCTGTTCTTTTTGCGGATACAGACTAACACGGCTGCTACTCTGAGACCTGTCATAGATAGAATGAGGCCCAAAAGCCCCAATACAGCAACACGTGCCTACCGTTCTGCATGTAAGCAATCCCCCTGAAGACAGCGGAACTAGGTGCTTCTAATCCGTCATGGGTTTAAGAACTTTGTTGGATTGAGGCCTGATGACTTCCAAATCTTTCTAACACTGAGGTTTTTTGAACTACAATGATCTAATATTTCTCCCTTTAAACCACATGATCTTTTTTAATCTCGGCTCTGAATCTCCTGACTCTACAGGATTTGGGGGAAATGTTGTGATAAAATTGGCTTAAACCAACGGCTCTCTATTTCCAATCTTTAACTCGCTCTTCAAAAAGGATCTGATGCTGCTGAGGGTGCCAAGCACCCTCAGCTTCCACTGGCTTCAGCTCAGCCCCTTTTAAGGCCACACTGCTATCGGCTGGTACAGTATTGCTATTCTTTGTTATCATTCAAGATTTGCTTTTTTCAGTGTATTTACTCTGTCCCATTGTCACCACTTTGCATTCCCTGCTTCTCTTGTAGGGTCACTTTCTCCTGTTGTTTGTAGGAGTCTTTCATATAGTAGCTGGGGAGAAAAAACACATTTATAAATCTGAAAGCGTAGTTGTCAAACCACAAAAACAGGCTGGGGCAGCAGCCTTAGGGGCAGATGTAGGAACCAAAACAACTTCCAACTCATTGATTTAAACTGGATGCCTATGAAGTTGACACTGTCCCTTTAACGGAACTTTCCAGCCCTACATTTCCAGAGGCCCCTCTATTATCTGGGGGTAATGGACAGACAGGGAGATGGGAGCAGGAGACAGAGCAGCAGCTCAATAAACAGAGGAGGAGATGGCACACCTCCAGGTGGAGAGAGATCAGAGAGGGGGTTCCCAGGGAGGAGATGAGGTAACAAGCCAGTTAGAAAATAACTGCCTTGGGAGCAGGGAAGAATGTGGCTGCCAGGCAGCATGGGGGGGATAGCGCTCCCAAGTTATCACACCCCACATGGGTGTGAGAGGGATGATACTTCTGGGAGAGATGACGGCGAGACACACCCAGGCTTGAATCACACCCAAGAGGTGGGGAAAAGGAGAGCAACACACCAGGAGGAGATGGGGTAACACTGGGGGAGGGAGAAGAGGAGCAAGTTACATACCCGAGAGGAGGGTAACCCAATCAAGTTGTGCAACAGTGACCTTATGCAATCACTTGGTCTTAGCACCATCAGACTCCCCTTCCCCCATTCACTCCTATTATTTGCTTGTTGCATCTTGTCTGAAATTAGACTGCAAGCTCTTTGGGCAGGGGCCATGACATCCCATGGGTTTGTTCAGTACCCACCACAATGGGGCCCTGTTTTGATTGCGGCCTTTGCACATTACCGTAATACAGATATTAAACAAGAGTAATAAAGAGGTAAAGTCCTCTCGTTCCTTCCATCCCTTACACTCAGTATCTGCTTTCCCCAGCGTCTTGTTCTTGGATCTTCTGCACATCGGAAATGCTGAATTTGAGAAAGTAAATTTCAGCCTTGGGTGAATACTCACAAACCTATTTTGGAATTTCTTGCCCTACTAATTTGAACTTGAACCACAATGAACTGGGCACTTGTCCCCGACTTCCTCAGTGGTAGAGTGATGGCCGTGAGCCACGTCTGTGGTGAGTAGCCCAGCACAAACAAGCTGGGAAAGGGAAAACTTTCCACACAAAAATAAACTGAGCTGGAACCTCCTTTTCTCTTCAGTGCTAAAATGTGCATTGACAGGATACATGTGATCTGTGGTCAACATTAACAGCAAATTATTTTAGTTACTTAGAGTTATAGGAATTGTTTAAACAAAAAACAAACAAAAAAAGACATCCCGTTAAGAGAGAAAACCTCACACTGAGTCATATCCACATTTTTTCTCTGGGTATCTGCTCCTTCTTTGCAGCATTTAAAACACCCAGGGCCCTTCCCCTGAAGCAGCAGTTACTGGCCACTGTTGAAGACGAGATACTGAACTAGGTGGACCATTGGGCTGATCCAGGACAGTATCCCTGATGTTCCTCCCCTACAGTCCTCATCAAGCTCAACTCCCACTGAATGCAATGAGAATATTGCCTATGGTGGAACTGCAGGATCAGGCCCCTTAATTTCTAAACATGCTTCGTTTCCACTCCCCAAAAAGGACAGCTTTGGAGCACAGCGATAGCCCTGATCCTCGCCCTGGCAGGGTTTCTCTTCAATTCAGAAGGCTTCCCAGGAAAGCGCAAAGTAGGCCCATGGGACCAAAAGCCCTTTTGCAGAAGAACTAACTCGCCTGCAGCATTTAACTAATCCAAATAATTATTTTACCATTCTATAACCTCTTCCAGTCAAAAATCTTAAAGTTCTTTTTAAACATTAATTAATTTAGCCATACAGCACACGTGCGAGGTGCATCTCAGATACACAGGGACCACTTCATCCAGCACTGAAATTCAGATCCCTCTGCAGGACAACTGCTTACCAGCACATGGGCAACTGATTAGCATTTACAGCTACTATAGTCATTAGTATGTTGAACTCTAGTTCCTGGGGGTCTGTCCAAACCAGCCTCAGCCATACTGGCATTTCTCTGGCAGCCCCATCAGTTTCCGCAGAGTTTAAACTTTTATTTGAGAAAAGAAAATTTCCTACCCTCAGGGTTCTAAAGCACCTTCCCAATGTGACCTGATACGGTTGCTGTCTGCAGTCAGTGTCAGTCAGCAACAATGGACCAAATCTAGGGTTGGCACCAGGGGCTGCAGCCCCCTCTGAAGTCAATGGAAGTTGCACCCTTGTTGCGTCAGGACTCAATTTGACCCATTAGCGCAGAGAGGTGTGAACCATCCATAGTCAGATACTGGGTGTTGACTCTGAAACCTAAGAATGACCACTAAGAAAACTGGTTGATTAGGTGTTTCTGCTAAAATGATCAGACGTGAAAATAATGCTCTGTGGAGCCTTCGGAGAAGGCACCTAAATGAGCACGCCCGGCCTGTAAAGCACCTACCACGCTGCAACCAGGAGCGGTGCAAGCTCTTCGGGGCCGGGAGCGAGCGTGAGTGAGCAGCGCACCCCGTGCAACCGCGGCCCAGATCCTACCTGCTGCCACACAGAGAGACAACAACCATCTTGTGGGGCTCTGGGCAGGGCTAGGGATGGCAGGCGGAGCTTGCACAGAGGGGCCCGGGCAAGGGAGGGACCCCAAGGCGGGGGTGGGTCCCCCAAGTTGCTGAGCCGCGGGGCGGGGAGGTCCAGGCGGGCGGGGCCGTCTCCCCTCGGGAAGCGCTGAGCCCACCGCCTTGCCACCGAGCTCCATCCCCTTCCCCGCCTGCCCCAGCCCGTCCCGGCCGGCTCAGCCCCGCTCCCGCCCGGCGGACGCCGCTCCGCGGCGCGCTCTCACCTGCTGCCGGCTCGGCCAGCGGCGGCTGCCGCGCTCCAGGTGCGAGCTCCCGGCTCCTTCCCCCCGAGCCCGGCTCCGTCCCCGGTGCGCTGCGGGGGCGCCCTGCTCCGCTCCCCGGGGAGCTCCGCGCCCGGCCGCAGCAGGCGAGCGGCAGCCGAGCCCGCCGGCGCTGGGAGCGGAGCCGGGGGAGGCGCGCGGGGCTGAGCTCGGCGCCTGCCTGCCTGCCTGTCTCCCCCCTCCCGGGCAAGCTGCGAGGGGCTGAGCGCCGCACTTCCCCCGCCAGCGGCCACACCGAGCGGCTGCTCCGCATCACACGGCCCGGCCCAGCGCAAGGCAGCCCCCCACCGGGCACCCCCTGCCGGTGCAAGGCACCCACCCCCTAGTCACCCATCCCCTTACACGTGCCGGGCACCCGCCCCCAGACCCAGAGCAAGGCATCCACCCTCCAATCATGCATTCCCCTGCAGGTGCAAGGCACCCATCCCCAGTGCGATATACAGCCCCCCAATACAACGCAGCCCCCTGCCACGACAATGCACCCATCCCCACAGCAATATACTCACTGCCAGTGCGATATACCCGCCCTCCAGTGCGCCTCCACTGGGCAATGCCACTGCAACGCAGCCACCCCCGGGGGAGCAATATACCCACCTGGCAGTGCACCCACTCCTAATGCAATGTACCCACTCTCCACCAGCCTTCCCTCTAATTTTTTACGACCATGTGGGGAATTAATTTTGTTATGTGCACTAATATGGGGGTGATGTGTGCTGGGGGTGGGGCCAAGGGGTTCGGAGTGTGGGAGGGGGCTCAGGGCTGGGGCAGAGGGTTGGGGTGTGGTGGGCTGAGGGCTCTGGCTGCAGGGGTGGGCTGAGGGCTGGGGATGAGGGGTTTGGGGTGTGGGAGGGGGCTCAGGGCTGGGACAGAGGGTTGGGGTGTGGTGGGCTGAGGGCTCTGGCTGCAGGGGTGGGCTGAGGGCTGGGGATGAGGGGTTTGGGAGGGGGCTCAGGGCTGGGGCAGAGGGTTGGGGTGTGGTGGGATGAGGGCTCTGGCTGCGGGGGTGGGCTCTGAGTTGGGGATGAGGGGTTCGGAGTGTGGGAGGGGGCTCAGGACTGAGTGGTTTGGGCGTGCAGGTTGACCCAGGGCTGTGGCAGGAAGAGAGAGGACTCCCTCCAGCCCCCTTGCCATAGCAGCTTGGGGCCGGGTGAGAGGCGCCTCTCCCTAGCCAAAGCAGTTCCGGCAGGCCTGGGCTAGGCCAGGGGAAGGACTCCTCTCCCTGGCAGCTCCGGAGGGGCTGGGCCGGGCCGGGCCGGGCCAGGGGAGGGGTGCCTCTCCCCACCTGCGCAGCCCTAAGCCTGCTCCGCGGCCACGCAGCTTACCGGGAATTTAGCTCTTCACCATCCACCAGTGCACTGTACCCATTCCCCCACGCAATGTATGCAATCCTCCATTCCCCACCCCCCCGCCCCGAATACAATGCACCCAGTAGTCCAGAGCACTGCACCTTGGTGTATTTGGGTCACACTGCCTCTCTCAGGAGACAGAGGTGCTGCTACTTTCCATCCTGCCCTTTCCCCCCACCCCGCCCTGGTCTACCTTTCCTGAGCAGAGAAAGCCAAGGCAATTAAAACCCTCCACCCCATCTCTCCCCACTAACTATGCTCTGGTTCTCTATGTACTAAACCCCACGACTGTTCCTGGGCTCTGCCGTGTGCAGGAACTTCCTCCTCTCTCTGTATTTCCCCTGGGGATTTCATTCCAGTTTGCTGAATATGACGGAACGAGCCTTTTTTACTTTGGTCTGCAGCATGAAGACCTTTGTGTAGCATTCCCCTCCCTCCAAGAATATCACTAATAAATCATAGAATCATAGAATCATAGAATATAAGGGTTGGAAGGGACCCCAGAAGGTCATCTAGTCCAACCCCCTGCTCAAAGCAGGACCAATTCCCAGTTAAGTCATCCCAGCCAGGGCTTTGTCAAGCCTGACCTTAAAAACCTCTAAGGAAGGAGATTCTACCACCTCCCTAGGTAACGCATTCCAGTGTTTCACCACCCTCATAGTGAAAAAGTTTTTCCTAATATCCAATCTAAACCTCCCCCACTGTAACTTGAGACCATTACTCCTCGTTCTGTCATCTGATACCATTGAGAACAGTCTAGAGCCATCCTCTTTGGAACCCCCTTTCAGGTAGTTGAAAACAGCTATCAAATCCCCCCTCATTCTTCTCTTCTGCAGGCTAAACAATCCCAGCTCCCTCAGCCTCTCCTCATAACTCATATGTTCCAGACCCCTAATCATTTTTGTTGCCCTTCGCTGGACTCTCTCCAATTTATCCACATCCTTCTTGAAGTGTGGGGCCCAAAACTGGACACAGTACTCCAGATGAGGCCTCACCAATGTCGAATAGAGGGGAACGATCACGTCCCTCGATCTGCTCGCTATGCCCCTACTTATACATCCCAAAATGCCATTGGCCTTCTTGGCAACAAGGGCACACTGCTGACTCATATCCAGCTTCTCATCCACTGTCACCCCTAGGTCCTTTTCCGCAGAACTGCTGCCTAGCCATTCGGTCCCTAGTCTGTAGCTGTGCATTGGGTTCTTCCGTCCTAAGTGCAGGACCCTGCACTTATCCTTATTGAACCTCATCAGATTTCTTTTGGCCCAATCCTCCAATTTGTCTAGGTCCTTCTGTATCCTATCCCTCCCCTCCAGCGTATCTACCACTCCTCCCAGTTTAGTATCATCCGCAAATTTGCTGAGAGTGCAATCCACACCATCCTCCAGATCATTTATGAAGATATTGAACAAAACCGGCCCCAGGACCGACCCTTGGGGCACACCACTTGATACCGGCTGCCAACTAGACATGGAGCCATTGATCACTACCCGTTGAGCCCGACAATCTAGCCAGCTTTCTACCCACCTTGTAGTGCATTCATCCAGCCCATACTTCCTTAACTTGCTGACAAGAATACTGTGGGAGACCGTGTCAAAAGCTTTGCTAAAGTCAAGAAACAATACATCCACTGCTTTCCCTTCATCCACAGAACCAGTAATCTCATCATAGAAGGCGATTAGATTAGTCAGGCATGACCTTCCCTTGGTGAATCCATGCTGGCTGTTCCTGATCACTTTCCTCTCATGCAAGTGCTTCAGGATTGATTCTTTGAGGACCTGCTCCATGATTTTTCCAGGGACTGAAGTGAGGCTGACTGGCCTGTAGTTCCCAGGATCCTCCTTCTTCCCTTTTTTAAAGATTGGCACTACATAAATCAGTGTCAGCAGGTGTGAATACCTGCATGCTGCTAATAGATAGTGCAGCGGAGAGTGCTGGGGACAGAGTTGAAATCAAAGACATGCCTTCAGTTCTTGTGTCGGTCTAACGCACCTATTCCCAAACAGCTAGATAGCCAAACTCCAACAGATTTTCCTAGGGTGCCAATGACTAAAATCTTGTCTTTGCACCTCCCTTTCCTTGTATGGAGGCAGAAGAGCTTGTGTGGTCAAGGGTTAGGGACTTAGCCAACCTGCGTTCTATACTTGGGTCTGCTAGCTCTGGCCTCTATTCCGGCCAGTCATTTCACCTGTCTGTGCCTCTATTTCCCCTCCCACATTTTGTTGGCCTCCTTGGCTATTCAGTTTGTAATCTGAGAGGCAAGCACTGTCTGCTATGAGGAGCTAATTGTCCAGTGTCTAGCACCATGGGGTCCTGGTCTCAGCGGAGGCCTCTAAGTGCTACTTTAATGCAAATAATAATGTATGGAGCTATTATTTTAATTTCATTGCTTTATATTTATTTAATATTAGTTGCTACATTCAAGGAAGGAGTGCCAAGCCATTCAGTAGGTCTGTTAGTGGACTAGATTAGTCTTCTTGCAAAGGGCACGGTGGGGAAAATATATAAAATAGGGTTAAGAAGTATGAACTTAGATGTATTGTATCTGGCACAAGGAACATCTCTGCTGAGCAGAGGAAGTGGTATGAGATTTCCAGTCGCTACCTGTATCCATGAGACCAAACACATCCATGCCAATGATCTGTGTGATGGTCATAGATTTCCATTTGTTCACTCGTCCTTTGAGTCTAGTGTTCACACCTTCATTCACACCCAGGCAACACCATTGACTTCAGTGAGATTACACAGGTGTAAGTGAGATCGAAATCTGGCCCTCTGCCATTCTCTCTACTTTATAGCCCAGTTAGTTTCCTGGATGCATGTAGAAAATGCATCCAGGTTATAAAACATCAAGTGTCTTCGACAGAATCATTTATGTCCAGGAAGTGAATCTCCAGAATACAACGGGACAACATTTGTTAAATCATCAATGTGGACAAATTCATTCAGGGCTAGGGAGGAAGTCGATTCATGTGAGGATGCTGCAGCACCTCAAAACAAAAAAAGACTCATAGACTCACAGATATTAAGGTCAGAAGGGACCATTATGATCATCCAGTATGACCTCCTGCACAATGCAGGCCACTGAATCTCACCCACCCACTCTTGCGATAAACCTCTCACCTATGTCTGAGCTATTGAAGTCCTCAAATCATGGTTTAAAGACTTCAAGGTGCAGAGAATCCTCCAGCAAGTGACCCGTGCCCCATGCTGCAGAGGAAGGCGAAACCCCCCCAGCACCTCTTCAATCTGCCCTGGAGGAAAATTCCTTCCTGGCCCCAAATATGGCGATCAGCTGAACCCTGAGCATGTGGGCAAGATTCACCAGCCAGATACCCAGGAAAGAATTCTCTGTAGTAACTATGAGTGTAAATTCTGCAGGGGGAAGAGCTACCAGACAAAAAAAAGCTGGGCCAGCTACTAATGCAGAAAGTGGATTTCAAAGCAGCCTCACAAGACAGTTAATGCAGCATTTAGAAGTGAGTAGTAGATGAAGTGCTTAATGGCTACAAAGTACCTGACCTTAAAGCTGTTTACTGCCCGTTCACTTCTCTCGTCTAAACACTGGTGCTGTGATGCAGCTGGCTAATGATGAGAAACCATTTGTGTAAGTCTCCTTTCCTGGAAGGGGTAAAGCTGGAAAGCACAATGGGCTCCACAGTTACCACCTTTCATGATCTTTGTTTGGCATTGAGGGATGTCTGCGGCGGGTGGGAATAGCCGAGCATAGATGCAGTTATGATCAGAGGCCCAGATTCTCAAAGGTATATAGGCACCTAACTCCCATTGAAATCATTCAAATACCTTTGCAAATCTGAGCCTGAGACCCCAGCCTACAAAGCCCTCAATTGAGGAGTGCCTAAGTCATGAGACTAGTCTCGTTGATTTCAGGGGAGTCTAGGATTGCAGGGTC